TTTTTAATTTTTTAAATGTTTTCTTTATTTCTGAGAGAGACAGCATGAGCAGGGGAGGGTCATGAGACACAGAATCGGAAACAGGCTCCAGGCTCTGAGCTGGCTGTCAGCACAGAGCCCGAGGCGGGGTGAACTGTGAGATCATGACCTGAACCGAAGTTGGCCACTTAACCGACTGAGCCGCCCAGGCGCCCCTGTGTCTCCCTCTCTTTCTGCCCCTCCCCCGATCATTCTCTGTCTCTGTCTCTCTCAAAAAAGTTATTTTAAAAAACTGATTATCTTTGTATGGTGGGATTCAGGTGATTTTTATCTTCTTCTTCTTTGATTGTTTGTATGTTCTGGGTTTTCTACATAAAACATATATTGTTACTGAATCCCAAGTTCAGCTGCCAGTCACTCAAAAGGCTGATACTCAAGAGACAATAGACAAGTTTTGACTGGAAAGGAATATGAGCTTTATTCAGGAGTCTAGTATCTAGGGAGAAGGAAGACTCTTGCCCAAAGGAGAACTCCCAGGTTTCTGCCTGGCCCACGGTTGTTGTTTTTTCCACGCATGAGAGAGAGAGAGAGAGAACCAGCAGATGCCCCCTGTAGACTCAATGATGCCAGCCTCAGAGTTATCTTGGTACTCCAAGGTTGTACAAGAAGTTCCGGTTCCTTGGTACCCAAGGGTTGTGCAAGAGTACTCTGTTCATTTTGCAAAGAAGGACAAGGTCTACATATGTGCAGAGAGGTCAGTAAAGTATTTGTGTGGCTTTAAAAATGAAAAACATGTTGCTAAGAGATATCTGAGCTAATCAGAAAGCTAAGGGGGCTTCAAACAGACTTGCTGGCTTCTGTGGTCTGGGAACGTTGTGGTCCTCTCTTCCACAAGACCAGTGACCTACAAATCTCAAAGAAAGCAAATTGGTTCTGTTACAGATGAAGGGCCTTAAGTCAGCAAGCAAGGAGTGTATTAACTTGAAGCTAGTTAACCCTTATGCTCAGCTAGAGTGCTGTTACAATATCATTGTGCAATTAAAAATACAGTGTTTTATATGCAACAAACTTTACTTTTCCAAACTCGTCTCATTTTTTGTGATCTCCAATCATTGTCTTGCTCTTCTGGGTTTTTTTTTAATGAATAGCATTCTCTTTTGTAAAAGAGAGAGGCCCCTGGGTGGCTCAGTTGGTCACGAGTCCAATTCTTGATTTTTGCTCAGGTCATGATCTCCAAGTTCATGAGTTGAAGCCGCTTTTTGGGCTCTGCACGGACAGTGCAGAGCCTGCTTGGGATCCTCTCTGTCCCTCTCTCTCTGCCTCTCCTCCTACTCTCTCTGTGTGTGTTTGTATGTGTCTCTTTCTCAAAAATAAATAAATTTAAAAAATAAAAAAATGAAAGGAACTTGACATTCAGATTATAGAAGTTAATGATTGCTTATCAGAGAAGTTGCTATAGAAAACAAGGTAAATTAGGGCACCTGGGTAGCTCAGTCGGTTTAGTGGCTGACTCTTGATTTTGATTCAGGTCATGATCTCACCGTTTATGAGTTTGGGCCCCACATCAGGCTCTGTGCTGATGGCATGGAGCCTGCTTGGGATTCTGTCTCCTGTACCCTCTCCCTCTCTCTCTCTCTCTGCCTCTTCTCCACTCGAGTGTTTGCTCTCTCTCTCTCTCTCTCAAACTAAATAAACAAAAATAAATAAAATTCAAATACACTGGGAGGATGTATTAGTTAGGGCTGTCATAGCAAAATACTACAGACTTGATGGTTTAAACAAAAGAAATTTATTTTCTCATAGTTCTGGAGACTGGAAGTCAGAGGTTAATGTATTGGCAGAGCTGATTTCCATGACCTTGCTCCTTGTCTTGTGAAAGGCACCTAGTGTTGTAAAGGACACCAGTCATATTAGATTAGGGTCAACTTTAATGACCTCCTTTTAATTTAATTACCCCTTTAAAGACTATCTCCAAATATCATAGCCTGAGGTACTGGAGGTTCAGACTTTAACATATGGATTTTGTTGAGAGGGGCATACAATTCAGACCATAATGATATAAGTTGTCTGGGGTTGAGGACCCAGGGGGGGTCCTGCAGGATCAGCCAAGAGGATCCTTGGCTTCAAGCCTGATAGAAATCAAACTCAAACCAGCAGGAAGTGAGATCAGAGTATATTGAAGACATAGATAGAGTGCTGATGCAGACAGAGCATCTCGGAGACTCCAAAAGGAATGAAGAATGAGTCTTGACTTTGCTCCTGGTCTGGGGTTTTGGGATGATGGTCCAGTGTACGTGTCCTCTCAGGCATCCAAGAACTGGTCAAAACAAGGATGGGTGCTCAGGTGTCCTCCATAAGTCACTTATGTCCCTGGAGCCAGGAGTCTGGGTGTCAGGAGTCAGTGGTCTTGGAAAACCTACATGACAACCCCACCCGGTCACTCCTTACATATTATCTATTGTGCTGCAAGACTCCTAAGAACTCATTAACTCCTTGACCTTTATAAGGAGGGCATACATTATTTGTACCATAAGCCCTGATGCAGAATGGGAGTACAGGTCCTAGCAAGACAGAAGCAGAAAAAGAAGTAAAAAAACAGCTTTTTGGGGGCACCTGGGTGGCTCAGTCAGTTAAGTATCTGACTTCAGCTCAAGTCATGGTCTCATGATTTGTGAGTTCATGCCCCAAAATTGGGCTCTGTGCTGACAGCTCAGAGCCTGGAGCCTGATTAGATTCTGTGTCCCCCTCGCTCTCTGCCCCTCTCCCATTTGGGCTCTTACTCTCTTTCTCTCATTCTCTCTCTCTCCCAAAAACAAATAAACATTAACATAATTTTTTATTTTTTTTAATTTTTAAAAAAATTTTCCTTTTTTAAAATTATTTTTTTAATGTTTTTTAAAAAAATTTATTTCTGAAAGAGAGAGAGAGAGTGAGCAGGGGAGGGTCAGAGAGAGAGGGAGACACAGAATCTGAAACAGGCTCCAGGCTCTGAGTTGGCTGTCAGCACAGAGCCCAATGCAGGGCTTGAACCCACGAACCGTGAGATCATGTCCTGTGCCGAAGTCAGATGCTTAACTGACTGAGCCACCCAGGCAACCCTAGCTTCTGACTCTTGATTTTGCCTCAGGTCATAATCTCACAGTTGTGGGATCAAGCACCACATTGGGCTCTACACTGGATGTGGAGCCTACTTGGGATTCATTCTCTCTCCCTTTGTCCCTCCCCTGCTTACACTCTCTTGCTCTCTCACTTTCTCAAAAATAAAATCTTAAAGATAATTTTTTTAATAACATAAAAACTTAAAAAATTATTTAGGGGCATTCACTTTTGAATGCCCCCTCTTCTGTAAAGAGAGCTTTCATGCTATTCATACTTTCTGATCTTATACTCTAATAAACTTTTGCCTGTTGCTCATTTTAAAAAAGTCTTTTTTTAAAAAGCTTATTTGAGGGGAGAGAGGGGCAGAGTGAGGGAGAGACAGAATCCCAGGCAGGCTCTGAGCCACCGGCACAGAGCCCAATTCGAGGTTTAAATTCACAAACTGTGGATCATGACTTGAGCTGAGATCAAGACTGATCCACCCACGTGTCCCCCAACTTAAAAAATCTTTAAAAAAAATAAATGTTTTCATTTTAAGATTAACTAGATGCAAAGGGTCTAATTTTTAACATTACATATTCCAGCATTTACATGTTGATATACTTTTTTGTCTGTTTTTTAAAGTTTATTTGTTCATTTTGAGAGAGAGAGAGACTGAGTAGGAAGGGGCAGAGAGAGAGAGGGAGAGAGAGAATTCCAAGCAGGCTTCCCACTGACAGGTCACAGCACTGACACAGGGCTTGATCTCACAAACCATGAGATCATGACCTGACCTGAAATAGAGAGTCAAACTCTTAACCAATGGAGCCACCCAGGTGCCCCTGTTTACTCATTTTAAAATTCCTTATTATTTTTTATTCTTTAAGTAAGCTCTAGGCCTTAAAGCTTGAACGCATCACCCCAACATCAAGAGTTGAATGTTCCACCAAACTGGGCCAGCCAGGTGCCCCTTCATTTGTGTGTGTGTGTGTGTGTGTGTGTGTGTGTGTTTTCAGATTCGACATATGAATGAAATCATATGGCATTTGTGTTTCTCAATCTGACTTATTTCACTTAGCATAGTAGCCTTCAGGTCCTGTCATGTTGTTGAAAAATGGCACGATACCATCCTTTTAATGGCTGTAATATTCACATGTCTGTGTTTCTCACATCTTCCTTATCCATTTGTCTATCGATGTACACTTAGGCTGCTTCCATATCTTGGCTATTGTAAATAATGTTGCAATACACATGAGGATGCATCTATCTTTTCAAATTAGTGTTTTTGTTTTCTTTAGGTAAATACCCAGTAGTGGAATTATTGGCTCATGTGGTATTTATATTTTCAACTTTTTGAGGATACTCCATACTATTTCCTACAGTGGCTATACCAGTTTATATTCCTACCAACAGTGCATGAGGGTTCTTTTTTTCTCCACCAAAGATCTTTCTTTATTATTCCATGGACTAATACAGAAAATTGATATTAGACTATTTAGATTTCTGAGGATGCTTTAACCTAGGTACAGGCTCAACACTGACCATCACTATATTGGTTTCTGGGTTGAAATAGAACAGTACTGTGTCCCCAGGGACAATTTACCTTGAGTGAACACACCTCTTCGGCACGCCTCAGGAGCGGGTCTCTATTCATGGCTACAAGAGTGACCCATTGCTGCTGCTGCTGTTTCTGCATGATAGTAAAGACAGAAAATGCAGGTTAACCCCAAATGTCACCACACAGATACCCAAGTCTTCTTGGGCAGGAAATTCAGGCATATTCACCACATTAGGCTTCTGACTGGGGACAAGGGAAGACAGATCTTGAATTCATAGTATCTGTTTTCTTATTCATTATAGTAGTTAATAGAGCTATTCTGATAAACCATGGCTGAAGAGGCTTCCTCTTTGGGTCTACCTTTTACATGAGACCATATGTTTGGCATATGCACTCATGTGTTAATAACATTTCTCTGCAGGCTGTGAGGCCCCGCACACCAAATCCCTGGTCACAGAGTCCAGTCCTGGGCCTAAACACAAGAAGCAGAGGTCAACCATCACCTGTGAAAGATCTACGCACTGCCCGGGAAAGAAGGATTACGATGGGACCATTTAGATCTGACCCAGCCTAGATCTCTAGCTGGGTAAATACTCAGAAATTTTTTCCAGGGTCATTTCCCTGGAAGGAAAGGTGATCATTTCTAGGATGTTCCCTTCTCTTGTTCCAAGGCAGACAGCAGTGGACCTCGTCACATTATGGTTCTTTAACTGATGTTGTATAGTCTCCTTGTCATTATATATATATATAGAGAGAGAGAGAGAAAAATCTATTTAACAGCAGTCCTGGTTTTTTAACGTGCACCATTTACACAAAAAATTGACATCACATAGATGATTGAGCATATTTTCCCATACCACAGACAGGTTACATACTAATTATAGGTCAGAGCTCCAAATTTTACTAGAGTAGAAATATTGAAAGACCCATCATCTCTCCGAAGCCATATAAAGAGCCCTCTGAAACCCAAACTAGAATACCATTTGCCTAGGAAAGAGGTGGCTTACATGATTTTTTTTTTTTTTTAATCTACAAGTCTAGTCTTGTTCTAGAGCAGGTTCCTTACAAGAGTGTTACAAGAAAATCAGGGTGACTGGCTGGCTCAGTCGGAAGAGCATATGACTCTAGATCTCGGGGTCGAGAGTCGAGCCCCACGTTGGACATAGAGATTACTTTATAAAATAAATTAAAATTTAAACAACAACAACAACAGAAGAGTGTTATAAGAAAACCAAGCTGGCATGATCATTTTCCCCTCGCACCATATGGGTGGGCATGAACACTTTTAGATCCCTTGGAAACATTGCTGCGGTTTCACAACGCTGATGAACAATTCTCGTGAACCTCAGCGTACCTTATGGCTTTAAGGCTTTAGGCATGATGAAAGAGTTGCAAACCGTGTATGTATCGTTAGATGGGATTCTGTAAGAGCACACTGACGCAGGCAGGCCAGGTCAAGGACCCAGAGGGAGTCCTGCAGGACCAACCAAGAGGGTCTGTGGCTTCATGCAGGATAGAAATCAAACTTGAAGTGAGATCAGTTTATTGAAAATATAGAGAGTAGACACAGATGGAGCATTAGGGAGACTCAAGAATGGAAAAGGAGCGTGGGTCTCATCTTTGCTTGGGGGTCTGGAGTTTTTATAGAGGACTGTGGTCTGGTGTATGTGTCCTCTCAGGCATCCAGGAACCACTCAAAGCAAGGATGAGTGCTGAGGTGTCCTCCATAAGTCACTTATGTCCCTGGAGCCAGGAGTCTGGGTGTTAGGAGTCAGTGGTGTCTGGAGTCAATGGTGTTGGAAAACCTATATTGACCACCCCACCCGGTTACTCCTTAGATATCATCTATTGTGCTGCAAGACTTCAAAGAACTCACTAACTTCTTGACCTTTAAAGGAGGGCATACATTATTTATACCATAAGCCCTGATGCAGGGTGGGAATGCAGGTGCTAGCAAGAATAGAAGCAGGAAAAAGAGCAAAGAAAAAAAACAGCTTCCCCCCCCTTCAATTTCCCTGTCTCAACACAATGCCAAAAAAAAAAAAAAAAAAAAAAAAAACGCCATGGAAGAGGAGAGACCCAGAATTTAAAGTAGTGTGACTCCAGCTTTCTTTCCTAAATATTGATTCCTATTTATAACTTAAAAAGCTATGCGACATTTAGAGATGAAAATATAAGGAATGTGAATCTCTCCCTTTTTCTTCCCCTAATCACATCCTCTCTTCCAGTGGCACTGTTATCACCAGAAATATAAAAAGCAAAATTTCCACCATGAATGCCTCAGCTATGGGACACGGGGAAAAAAGGACTTTGGGGGAATATCAGTTAACCACAAAAGAAAATCTTTCCCTTCCCTGACTTATGTAACCCACATTTTAATTCATTTATTTACACATTCCCTCCAAGTGAAATACTGATTCAAAAAACATCATCACATATATCAAGGCTATTTCCACTTCTATCAAACCTGAGGATTCTGGGATCTGGCTGCCATGAGGCATTTGAGACAATAAATAATTCTGTACAAGTAATTTCTCAGCCCCTCTATCTTTGACTCTGTCATTTCATAGTGAAAGGACTTTATTGTGCACTCTGCATTGCTGGCCAGAACAAGAGGGCCAAATGAATGCTTCAGTCAGTCAGCAAGGCCAGACAGAGGGTCTATTAGGAGATCTGTACTGTGGGAGATGCAGCAGCTGGAGAAGAAATGGCCCTTATGCTCAAGGAGTTTACAAGGGGTTTTATAAGACATACTTATAAGAATCTTTCAAAGACAATATGCTTAATCTAGTAGGAAATATGTGGCACCCAGCAGATGTGCTGTAGGAGTCAGGGTGGGGGTGGGAGGTGCTGGCGTAGTCATGGAGACACAGGAACTTGTTTGGATCTCAGTGCACAGGACTTGGATAGACAGAGAGGAGGGAAAATCCTCTAGGTGAGGGCAAGGACAAGAGAAAAGGCTGGAGGAAGGGATGAGCTTGCTTTTGCTAATCTGTTCATATTAACAAAATATTACACTGACAAAATACTCCAAGAGTATCTTAAACCCTTTATAAAGAGCCTTGACTGTCCTTCCCAACTGAGACACCTTTAGGACATTCTCTTCTCGTTGTCTCCTTTTTGTTCCTCTTTTCCTCTTCCTTTCTTCTGCCACAGATCTTCATTATCTCCACTGGTTGATTAAACAAGTGGCAGCTCCCTATTCTACACTAAAAGGAAATTTCTGTTTGGCCCCAGCATGTGGGAGAAATGTGGTGCCAACCTTCTCTTGGTTGAGATCTGGAGAAAACTTCCATTTTTGCACGAAGATTCAGGTCTTTGTCAGTTTACACATACCAGCTAAGTTAGTATCCATTAGTGAATTACCATCAATAGCAATCTTCTTGGCCAGACCAACAGCAAAGTGGGGCTGTGGGTCTAAAGGAAAGCATTTGTGTTAGAATTTACTCCCTCTCCTTCACAATCTCCCCCTGGTATCACTTAATCTTCCCACTCTACCATCATTTCTTAAAAAAAAAAATTTTTTTTTTTTACCATTTATTTATTTTGAGGCAGAGAGAGAGTATGCACATGCATGCAGGGGGAGGGGACAGAGAGAAGAAAGAGAATCCCAAACAGGCTCCATACAGCCAGTGCATAGCCCGAAGTGGGGCTCAAACGCATGAACCGTGAGAACCTAAGCTGAAATCAAGAGTCAGATGCTTAACCAACTCAGCCACTCAGGCACCCCCCCCATCATATCTTGATGATCTATATTGTCAGCAAATATTAATTAAATAAATGTATTATTGGAGCACCTGGGTGGCTCAGTGAGTTAAGTGTTCAACTCTTGATCTCCGTTCAGGTCATGATCTCACAGTTCATGGGATGGAGCCCCGTGTCAGGCTCTGTGCTGACAGTGTGGAACCTGCTTGGGATTCTCTATCTCTCTCTCTTCTCCTCCCTCTTTTCCTCTCTCAAAATAAATAAATAAAACATTTTAAAAATGCATGTATTTATTTACTAACCATGGATATACCAGGAAGCATAAGACTGTTTCTCTCACTTTGAGGAGTTTATCATCCAGTTGGATAAAATAGGCTTGTCTGTTTGGAGGCAGCATTAGACCCTCTCAGGGGTCAAGAATGAGCTGGATACTTGAACATTTTTGAGACTCCAGCTGTATTTTAAAAAATAAAGTGCCCAAACTGAATTTTAAAAAGTGATGGCAGATTTTTTTTTCAACTTCAATTTTATTTTTTTAATTTTAATTTTAATTTTTTTCCAAATAGTTTATTGGCAGATTTTTTTAATGTATACACTTAAATTGCTGCTTTTAACACAAATATTACAATGACTAATTTTTGAAATAATGTCAAAAATCTAAATTGACAACAATATTTATAACAGCACCATTCATAATAGCCAAAAAGTGCAACCAGTTCAAATGCCCATCAACTGATGGATGGATAAATACAATTTGCTCTATTTGTACAATAAAATATTATTTGTCGGTAAGAAGAAATGAAGTACTGACACAGGCTACACCGTGGCTGAACCTTGGAAATGTTCTACAAAGTGAAAGAAGCCAGTTTCAAAAGACCACATATTGTATGATTTATATGAAATTTCCAGAGAGACAAATTTATAGAGACAGCAAGTAGATTAGTAGTTGCCTAGGACTGACAAAGGTGGGAATGGGGAGGGGGAGGAGAATAGGAATTGACTCCTAATGGGGTTTCTTTCAGGGGAGATAAATATGTTCTAAAATTAGATTGTGATGATGGTTGCATAACCTTGTGAATATACAAAAAAAGTTGCATTGTATGCTTTAAGCGAGTGCATTGTATAGTACACAATTATATCTCAATAAAGCTGTCTTTAAAAAGTCTAAATTGCAGGATGCCTGGGTGGTTAAGCTTCCGATTCTTGGTTTTGGCTCAGGTTATGATCTCGCTGTTCATGAGTTCTAGCCCCCTATCTGGCTCTGCGCTGACAGTGCGGAGCCTGCTTGGGATTCTCTCTCCCTCTCTCTCTGTGCCCCCTCACCCCTCCAGCTCATTCTCTCTCTCTCAATCTCACTCTCTCTCAAAAATAAACACTATTTTTTTTATATACACATAAAATAGTGTTTATTTTTGAGAGAGAGACAGAGAGACAGAGCATAAGCAGGGAAGGGGCCAAGAGAGAGGGAGACACAGAACCCAAAACAGGCTCCAGGCTCTGGGCTATCAGCACAGAGCTCTATGTGGGGCTTGAAGTCACAAATTGTGAGATCATGACCTGAGCCAAAGTTGGATGCTTAACTGACTGAGTCACCCAGGCGCCCCAAAATAAATAAATAAACTTTTAAAAAAAGTCTCAATTGAAAGCATTTTATGATTACCAAAGGCCCCCCAGTGTAGGATGCTGAGCCGTGTGGCACAATGGACAGAACACCAGTGTGGAAGTCAAATGCATCTGAGTCCAAATCGTTTGCTACTTACCACTTGTGTGACCTTAGGTGAATTATTTAAATTCTCTGCTATTTCTTTTGTTTACTGTAAAATGAGGACAACAGTTCCTCTAATAGGCCTGTTTTTTAAATAACATTTATTTTAAAAATACATACTAAGCAGTTATTATGTTCTAGACACTGTTCCAGGTTCTGGGGATACAGCAGGTGACCAGGACAGTCAGGGATCTCTATATTACATCTTACACACAAAAAATTGAGATTTTTACATACATGAAACCTCTCTCATGTTAAATATTGGCATCTAATTTAAAAATAT